CTGATATTAATTCCCTTCTTATTTTAACTAGGACAAGGGGGGAAATGGGATGAAATCACAAAGATCAAAGTAAGTAAGAGCAAAAAGAAAACAATAAAGGTTCTCAATGTATATAACAGTAGGATTATAAAGTGTAAAGGACATTTGGAAAGAGAAAGGGTGGTCATGCCCAAGTATAATACTCACAAAAAGCTCCCCCCTCCAAAAAAGAGTTTAAAAGACCAGTTAAGAGTGCAGCAGGCTCTTTCAGACCACTAATATATTCAAAACTAAACCTATTCCCATAAAAGCTCTCATAAGAAAAATAATGTTGCTACATGGGATGATGAATATTTATTAGATTTGTGGTTATCATGTTGCAGTATACTAATCTGTTAAAGTATGCTGTACACCTTAAAACCAATAAGTATTATAGATCCATTAAGTTCTAAAACTGGGGGCAGGGGTAGAAGAAGGTCTGTTTTCAAAATATGTAAATTCTTCTTATGGTTGAGACCCTCCTAATATATGTTCAGAGATATAAAATTAATAATTCTGTTACTAACAGTGATAGAACTTTTTAACTTATAAGGTAAATCTTATCTATTATCTACATCTCCAAGTATTCTTTCATTATAAGTGCTGTCAGTCTTTTATGCAGTTTTTATGCCAGTTAGAAAATCCTTTTCAAACTCCCAAATTGACTTTTTCATGGTCCATCTGAGGACCATATCTTCTGGGAAGATTACCATGTCTTTTCCAACATTTTTACCTCTGTAAATGATATGCTCTAATCCTAAAGAAATATTATCCAACCAACCACACTTATCTCAATCTCCAATGTTTCACCTCTTCCCACTCCGGAATTTTCCAGGGCATGCCCATCTATCCATTTCCCCTACCTGGCCAGGAATCATTGTTCTGGTTTGGTTTACCGGACACTACAATTTAGTTTTTTAACTGTTTTCTCACTCTACCTCATTGACTCTTCATATCACTAATTTTCAAATTACCAGTTGCCACCACTGGGTTGCTAAATCAATTTAGTGGGTACTGACTTACTTTCCTAAAAATAAAACTGAATTGAATAGCATAGAATATGGCAGAATACATCACACAATGCACATTTTATGACATTTTATCATATAACATATATATACTAGATTTTGATATTAAAAATGTATATTTTACTATAATGTATTATTACCAAAAAGGACTTCAAATACACCAGCTTTCATTTGTGTTTCAAGGCTGGACCCTGCATAGGACTTTAGAACTCTCCTGCTTTACTTCCTATAGAGACCAAGCAAAGTTCCTCATGCCAGATTTTCACAGTACCTCAACTTTGTGCTGTCAATCACACTGTTGCCTCTCCTTGAAAGGTCTCTCACTTGCCTACCAAGTTCACCTCCACAAAATCTTTTTCATTCTTCCTTCAGCAGCTATTACTATAAACATACACACTCTGTATCTCTGGTTCCCCTTAGACATCTCACTTACTTCTTAATTTTAACTTAACTGTCCTTCCAACTTCTAAATTACAAACGCCCTGAGGAAAGGGACATGTTTCAATAGTCTGTATCAGCAGCACTGAGTTACTGTACATAACAGGGATTCAACACTGCTAAAATGGTAAGTAATAAGAGGCATATATAACTTCTCCCATCTTAAAAAATGGTTGCTTTGAACAAAGTCCACCATTGTAGTACCAGATAGAGATTTCTGTGATTTTTTCTATAGGCCCGAGAGCTGCATATCGCAGACTGAGATAGAAAGAGGTGTTGATTTGTTCTCCCAGCGAACAAGGGACTCAGTTCAGATTGCAATGCTACAGGACCTACTTCCATACTTGAGGAAGGTCACAGAAATGGAACGCCAAAGGTTTCCATAAGCAGGTGAGATTAATCAAAACAGCACTATCAGACCCCATTAGCAGGAAGAACCACATGTTATAAACAACTCTTAATGGAGTAGGTTTTCGCTATTCCCATGTTGATAGTACAAAATTGCCAATATAAGTTAAGCAAAATAAAAGGTAGCATAAAAAATTAGTGAGGGTGCTTGATTTCCATTGCCTACTCTAATAGTTCTGAAATAGCTACTGACTCACTCTCTCATTATGAGATAAGAGAGAGGGGGAGAGGGGGGTCATACCTAACAGAGGTTCCTCAGTGAGACTCTGAAGCTTTTCAAAGACCTTATCTTACACAAAAGCTCTAATTTTTAGGGGTGAGAAATACCTGTTTCACAAACCAATATTTTAGCTGCCTTCACAATAATTAAACATAGTTCAGACAGCATCTGAGCTACTGTGACAGACTCTGCCAACTGTCAGTTTCAGCTGTTCTTTCCCCTTCCCACCCTCCTTCATAGACTGCAATTAAAGAAGTCATAGACTTTTTTTCTACGTAATCACTCATTTTGTTTTCAAATAATTCCTTTTGCTTGGACTTTCCCCCTAGACTTGCAGTTATATACATAACTAAGCAAAAACAAATTATTATTAACTAAACACTAGTCAAAATATATATTCATATGTGAAACTCTCTGCCCACAATATTAAATTTTAGGCATTTGTCAGAGTAAGGTCATTTACGAATGCCAGGTAAAACTTTAAAGGCCTTTGATATAAATAGATATAGCAGGCTATGCTTATTTCACAAGTATATACTAGGCATAAATACCTAGAAAGTATGAAAATGCCCATAAATACTTTCTTTGTATGCTCATCTCTTCTACTTTCACAAGTCTCTCTTGACAACTTATAGCAACTGAATCACTATCCTTGAGAAAGACTTTAAAAAAAAAATGCCATAATTGTTCACTCCTTTCTTTTTCTGCCCATCTTTAAAGTTCTATTTTTAAAAAGGTCAAATAAACTAGCTTCTAAACATATCTAATTGCACTGAAATGTCTAAATGTATGTTGTGTAGACTTGTTTTCATATTTTAAATCAGTGCCCTTGGTACTAAATTCCCTCAAGCTCCCTAGTAAAATAATGGACATTCATGAAGTCTAAAGATTGTGAAAAATCAGTATTCTTTCATGATGCTACCACTCCACCATCGAGAGAGAATGCAGCCTTTAACATGAAAAACTGCCACTTGGTTTTGTTTCTCTCTCTCTCTCTCTCTGACACGTGTTACAGAAGAGCTGCAGATTCTCAAGGGAAGCCATATTTCAAAGATTTTGAATAGTAGTAATTTTCAGTATTTTCTCATTAAAATTGCTACAATTCATGCAAAAATAATTCTCAAACACAACTATTATCCAACTTAGGTGTTTTAAAAACCTCTTATAGAAAACAACATTTCTATCTGAAAGATTTACTTCAAGAAATCAACTCGTAACTATTAATATCAAAAGAAAGTGGAGAAAAAATTCACATTTTCAGATTGGGGAAAAATCTTTAAAACTCATCTAAGCCTTTCTTTTGAAGGTAAGAAAAGAGTTCATAGAGGTTAAGTAATTTGCTCAGATAACCAAGCTACTAATAGCAGCACTAGAAATAGAATGAGGTATTTTAATTGCAGTTTCCCAATCATACAAGTTATACATATTCTCATCATTTGTCATTTAAGTTTTGTCATTTAATTCCTGATGGAGTCCTACAACATAGTTTAAATTTCCAAAGGTGTTCTATAAGCCTCACATTTTAACTCAGCAAAAAAGAAAGCATTATCGAAGAAATTTTCCAAGTTTTAAGAAGTGTGCGTATATCCAAACTGTCACGATGAATTTCAGAGTCTATCCTTTCAATCCTTGTCCCTTAACTACACTTAGATGTGTTAACCAAAACACAGACACACACACAGAAGAGACTGAATTTTGGAAGTTCTTAGAAGACTCTGCAACCTAAATGAAATGACTAGATAATTACGCTATATAGTATGAGTTTCTGGCTTAACTGATTTAAGAGTTTCTAGCATTTTACTAAGTAACTGAAGAGTTAATAAAAGATCAGAAAAAGCACTCTGTTGACATTGAATTTGAAAGAGGGTGTAGATTTGACACTGTTACACAAAGATCTGAGCTGAAAAGGGAAAAACAACAAAAAAGGAAACAAGTTCCTTCAAGAGAAAGCTTTTCCTATTCAGGATCTGATTTTCCTAGCTAGAGCCTGGCACTGTGGAGACCTTCAGTAAGACACCCAGATTTTCTTTCAAATGCCCCAATAAATCAGTAAATCTATGTATTTAGGTTTGGATATTCAAGGGCAAAAGAGAGGGCACAGTGAGGGCAACAATACATACTGGATCATTTTCAAGAACAGTACTCCAACCACTCATTACTTTACAATTATCCCTTTGTGCAACTGATTGAGATTCTCAAAGTACAGATAGAATGCAGTAGATCTCTTTGAAAGAGATAAAACCTAAAACAACATGATTTTGATTAAAAACTGATCGTGCAGTTTACCCAGTAAAATGCAGAATGTGTTGTCCTAAATATTACTAATAAAAAAACTATATTCGGATTACAAATGATATACATATGTTACTTAAATATGACCGCCGGTGTCACTTTACAAAAATAACTTGTTAAAAGGTTAGCACGCCTCTTTTTAAAGTACGACCAGCTTAGCAAGGTGGCACATTTCTTTGAAAACATAAAACACAGACAACCGCCACCACCGCTCAAAAACACACATACATAAATAAATTTGAAGATGTGTTAAGCACAAAAATCCTTACCCCATTTTGACCAAAGAAAACTTGCTCTGAAGTTTCTGCTTTTATGCTACGGAATAACTTCCAAAGAATTTCTCCGTGTGCTATTTCGCAGTTGCTTTTCCACCCCCCGAGATCCTTTTCTGGAGGTATTTCGGTGATGCTGACAATTCAATTAGTTCCCTTAGGTAAAATGATTTCTCTTTCGTAAACACCAAAACGTTCAAACAGAGGTGGCATTTGCTTATTAGTTAAAATGCTGCGCGGAGGAAACAGCGGTCAACTCTATTCCACAAAAAGAGTCTATGTGTAGGAAAACGCAGAATCCAGCTTCACCGAGTCCTATAAAAAATGAGTTCGGTGGTCATTTTGTTCATGTCCTCCACGACACTCGGGGAAAGCCAGGTAACTCGGCCTTTTCGGTGCTACTAAGGCTGCGGGTTCAAATTTCTCCACCACACCAGGTCCCTGGGGGTGGAGCGTGCAACCCAATGCGACGTGCACTTTAGAGATCCCTACGTGAAAATAAAAATCCTAAAAGCAGCAAGCCACTGCTTCCCTGCGCTCACATTAGAAAAAGCGATATAGAAAAATCTCCTCGAAGTGCAAACTCGGCAGCTCGAGACGTGCACGGCACTCCACATAGGAATCTGTCTTTTTAATTTGTCTCCTCCTAAGACTCGGAGCAGAGAGGAGGTGGGGAGGAGGAAGAGAAGGCTGGGCAGGATCGATTCATTCTCCCGAGGAGAATAAACGGAGCCATTTCCAGGATGGCAGCAGGCTGGGGGCGCAGCGCACGCCGGGGAGCAGGGGGAGGGGGCCCGATCCCACCTCCCTCAGCCCCTTCCCGCCCCCCGTCGCCGAGCACAATGGAGCCCGGTCCGCGCGCGGCCCTTCATTCGCTGCTGCACCCTCTTCCCTCCTCTCTTTGGAACACAGCAGGTGTGAGGCTCCCGTCGGCGAAGAATGAATGAATCAGAGAGCAAGCCCCACGTTGCCTCCGGCACCCTACCCCCAGCTCCGGGGCTGGATGAGCAGCGGCGTACAGAGCTGATGGGTCGGCAAGCGTCCGCCCGAGCTGAAGCGGGCTGCTAATCCCGCGTCGGGGGCAGGGGAGCGGAGCTCGAAGCCGCGGAAGAACCGCTGCTCCAGCGCCCCCACCCGTGCTCCTCGCCTCTCACGCTCCGCACCGCCGCCACGCGCCGCCTCACAGTCCCCGGGCCCCGCCGCCGCCTCCTCACACTTCCATCACCACCCGCCTCCGCCGGCTTCCAGCTCCCGCTCGGCAGAGCAGCGCCGGCCCCGGCGGCCTCAAGCCTGTCGCTGCCTCCGCCTCCACCGGCCGCTCACAGAGCGTAGGGCGCTGCTTCCCGGGTCAGCGCCGCCCGCGTGAGCCCCGCGCGGCGGTAGAGCAGGCGGCGGGCGGCGGGGGGCGGGGGAGGGGGCGGGGAGAGCGAGGAGGGGAGCGAGAGTGGTCCCTCCCCTCGCTCTCGGGAGGGAGCGAGAGGAGACAGCCGCGGCGGAGCCGCAGCCGGGTGCGGGGGGCTGAGGCTGGCTCGTCCAGAGAGCCCAGAAGGGCCCTGCGGGCAGCTGAAGGAGGCGACAGCCGCGAGGGAGGCGAGGACGGTGGTCAGGGGCCAAGGCGGCCCGAGTGGGGAGCTAGTGTGGCCGGCAGGTCCGTTCGTCCGTCCTTCCTTCCTTCCTTCCTTCCCCGCCCCCCCACCTCCCCTAGTGGCCGGCGGCAAGCGGGCGGTGCGCTCTGCTCCAGTGCTGCCTCCTGGCCCCGCTCCCGGCCGCCACAGCCTCCTCCGCGCCCCACACCAGGTGCTCGCGCTGTGTCTCCATCCCCACCGCAGGAGGACCTTTAAATAGCAACGTCAGCGCGCTCCTCTCCGCACACACGTCACCCGCCGCTTACGTCACCGAGTGCGGGGGATGATGTCACGCGGCCGGAAGTAATGCTAAATTAGGGAAAGAGAAGGGGGAGGAGGACTAGGCGATCTCCTCTGTGCCCACCTGCTCTCACTTCTCTTTAAAGGCCAAAGCACAGGAGACAGCCCGGGAAGAGCTCAGAGAAGGAAGCTACAGAAGGAGATTTCCTTGCAAGAAATGTGCCAAACACAAGTGATTCATTCATAGCAACGGTGCCGAAGTGTCAAGCCGGTGATATCTTATCTCCCACTCCCACCCCTGATACAGCAGCAGCCGGGGGTTTCTCAAGTCCCAGCTAACACGAAATGTGGGAGGAGAGCCTGATCACTCGCGATGGAATATTTCCAATAAATCTTGGGGGAAAATCATACAAATTTTCGAAATGATTGTGAAATGCTATTCTGCACATAGTAGATTTTAAGCTTCCCCCCCCTCCACCTCATCTCCACCCCTTTTGTGGTTACCTAAATCACAAAAAAGAATATAGAAGGGAGCCATGCTCAAATATTATGTTATAAAGGATAGTAATTAGAGGAGAGGCCATCATGTGATCTGAATGTTTTCATTTGCAGAACAGCAATGTTTCAACGTAGCATAATGAGTCAATCTTAGTTCACTCATAACTATCATCACATATTTAGCAAATACTAGTATATACCTTCTCGTTTCGGGTTTATCAAGACTGAGTTCCAGTTTAATGTTAGCATGAATACATTTGGGTTATTTTTGTTCTTAATTTTAACAATATAATACATAATTACAGCATCTTGTAAGTAGTTTTTCATCTTTTATATGGTATGGATGAGTGGTGAGCTAAAGGTTTGCTAAATTGTGTTTTTGTGTCTATAATAAATCATATTATGAATGCTTTCCCAATTGCAAATTACTGCACACTTTAAATATCTTCTTTATTTTGATAGCTCAGTATTAGACAGACTCAAAAGAATGAAATTTTTTTTGACTTGATAATCATGGTCCAGAAAGAGTCACTACATAATGCCAAAGGCCATTGCTATTTCAGAATTAGTCTATAAATGCAGTGTCCATGTTTTCCAAACTGAAATCTAGACACTTCATTTTACAATAGACAAAATATTTGGAATCAGATGTGACCTGGAAAATCCAAGACATAGCATAACCAACCTATAAAATAATTGTTAAGGAGCTATAAATGGATATGAATGCAGTTTAAATAAATGAAGTGAAAACTACAGAATTTAAATCGTGTCATTTAAAAAATATTTTTAATGTCAAACCACTCACATGATTTCTAATTAAGGAACATTGGTTTTGCAGCTTTCTGCATTTACATTTTATTGATCAAATTAAAGGACACTGGCCAAAAATGTTAGGACAATTTTGCTACTAAGCTGGGCTTTCTGATTATTACCACAATATAAAATCATGACTTTTTGTTTATTGTCTGATATATTGAAAGTAGTTTTTTTAAGGTTATAGCAAAGGTTAATCAAAAGCAAACCCCTGTTTCCCATTGTCTAGTATTATCATATTAATAGAAAATTGTACTCATTTGTATTTCAAATAAGAAATAAATGGAGCTTCCTATGTATAAAATATTAAAACAATAAAACTGTCATTCTACAGTAATGTCATCCCTTGGCTCGTTCAAATTAAAATACAAATTAAGTTATTACTATACTGAATTTTATCTACAAACTGTTTCTTATCTGAACTAAATCACTTATCTCACTTTCCTGCTCTTCCCATCCAGTTAATTTAAGCCCTTACTTTACCACTTTCAAGCACTCCATTTATCTTTTCCTATCCTTTTTCCCCCTTATCTGCAACCAGCTGCCAAAAGAGCATATCAGTTGCTTTCTTCCCTTTAGAAGACTGACCCTTCATTAGTTACTATGTAAAGCTCTTCTCAGTTTCTCATCTGTTAAGTGAAGATTGAGAGAAATTTTTTTCAATATAAATCAAATGGTATACTGTGATATAATTACTTACAGTTTATGTGATTATTTAGCTGTAGCCTCTGCTTTTAATCTAGAAAATTCTACAAATAATTGGATAATTTTTCTTTTTACTGTATTTAAGGTTATTTAAATGCCCATGTACACAAAGGAATAAGTTACACATTGCATCATGAAAAATCTGCTTCATTGTATGGTAAAAAATAGAAATGGAAGTTTAACAGTAAGTTTAAAGAAGTCTACACACATGTTGATTCTCAGTGATGCATATCTAAAATATGTTACAATGCACTATTAATTCAATAAGAATAAGTTACTGCATTAAAGTTGAATTAAGTTATAGAACTAAACTTTTCCTTTTCTCTCTTAGTTGCCTTTTTAAAGCAATTCTAATACAATTTTGAGAGAAGTCAAAGAACCATTCTATGCAAGTATTTTTTCTCTTGAAACTGAGCTGATAGAACCCAATTCTATGAATTTCCCATATTGATTGTTTATATATTTTTTGATTGTTTATATTTTTTAAAGTAGTGAGCTTCCTAGAAAGTAATATATTTTTCTTCTACCGGAAGAGACAGAAACTACTTTAGTGAAGTTTCAAATTTTTAACAGTTTCTGTTTCCCACTACACTCAGAATTTGTGGAGAGGTTTATGAATACCCTCTGATTTTAGAATCTGTGGGCGAAGGCATCTGTTTTAGTTAGAATTTGCTTCCATGCCCTTAATAGGAGATGGCAATATTCAATGGGTGTTCATAGATTGGTCATGAGGTATGTTTTTTTCAATGAAAAGATATCTAGAAGATAGAAAAACTTTGCAGAAAAGAAAGTCAAATTTTATTTTTAATTACTTAACATTAGACAATAACAAATCTCTTTCAAACTCCTTTTTAATCACTGAATTTCACTTTTGCCTCAAATAAAGTCATAAGTAAGAATAATAGGTAAAAAGATATCTCTCCATAACAATAGGAACTTCAAGATTCCTGGTTTATGCCACATAGTTACAAAGAAGCTAAACAACCAGTAACTAATAAAAGAATGCAATACTTGTAAGGAAACAGAACTTACCCAGTTGATTCTCCAAAGTCCGCCCACCTTATCCACAATTTAGCATTTTAGGCACCAGTAAATTGTGTTTGGCCTTTATAAAGCAACTTTAGTTGTTATAAGTAATGTCCTGAACAGAAACATGGAAACTAATAGTCTTAGGGCTGGGAGAATAAGTGTTTGACATCTCCAAAGCAGTGATCTGAGGACAGACAACTTTTACTCTTTTGAGTATCTGCCCGATTTTGTTAAAGAATATGGCAGTGATTAAAGGAGGGAAATCAGGGATTATCTTCAGGAAAGAGATGATATAGAACACATGAAAAATGATTTCATTAACAATCTCCTGTTCTGACTTTTACTGTAAATTATTTCTTTTCTAAATACAATTAAGAAGATTCTAATAACCCCAGGCTTGTAAAAGAATATACCAGAATGTTTTCAAATGGTGCTGTAAGAAAATTATTATATACCTATTTATATAAGTATTTTAAATATTCAGAAGAGATAGGGATAAGTTGCCTTTGGAAAAAATTACCTTGTTTAACTTTAGATTGTGCTTAGTTTGTTTGGTTGGTTGATTGTTCTAAACAGCAGGTAGGAAAAATATGCAAATATACAGAGAGCTACAGTAAAGAATAAAGAACGAGTAGTAAAGCTTGTGTTATACCTGTGCAGTTACTTAGAATGGAATGCTGTGGAAGCTGATTGCCATGGTAACCAATAATCTTTTTCCTGAATGGGGAAACAGGACAACCATAAGGAAAATGTTTTAAATGAGCTACCTTATTTTGTGACTCTTTTGATACCAGAGAGGAGAAAAACAACACCAGTGTATTTAGAACAGCCATGCTCATGAAAGGAATTTGTCTTCTTGACCAAGAGACAAGGCTAAGGCAAATATCTGGGGTTATTTCAAAGAGACCTATGGGGTTAACATGACAATTGCATACCATTTGAAGGAGAATGTAATTGGTAAGGGCTCTGACTTGGCCTAAGAGGGCAGAAACAATACCTATATAGCATGTTAAAAGTTCTTCCAAGCATAAGAGATCAGACATAAACATTCTCAATATCTGGGAGTTTCAGTCAAGATAATTTATTCATGAAGATTTTCTTGTAATCTGGTCCTATTGACTACTCTGTCTGATAAAAATCTCTTACTCTTACAATAAAACCAAACTCGATGTGTTGGCCTAAGAAGTTCTGCATAATGGACCCCTCCATTATGGACATTATGGACATCTCTTACCTTGGTTACCATTTCCCTTCTTCATTGTTGTGTGTGAGTTGGTGTCTGATGAACTATAAGGAACAGAAACCCCAGCTACTATTGACGTAAGTTAGCAGATTGTCTTTTTTATTTGCCTAGTAATTTAATAGGAAATCTGAATGTAGCTGACCCTACAGTAGGTTTGGAAGGTGCAAACTTTCTGTCTTTGTACTTTGTTATTCTCATTGTTGTCTTTTTAATCTGGCTTGCTGTCTCTTTGTCACTAGAATACTATTGTATATTCAGGCATTATCACAAAGATCACCCTAAACAAAAAGGGATGAGGAGAGATGGGAATTTTCTCCTTCATGCATACTTATCATCAAGGAGAAGAACTTTCAAGAGGCCACCAGAAAATTCCCTTTTGTGTCTCCCTAGGCTGGACTGGATTACTTGCCCATCATTAAATCAGTCACTGACAGTCTGCAACAGGATTTGACTAATTTGTGTAGACAAATGATAACTCATTCTTTTACACTGTATACATACACTATGCCTAAATGAAATTAGAATTCTCCCAGCAAGGAAAATGATGCAATGAATGTTGGGCAAGGAACCTGAATATTTGCTGTATAACCACAAACCACCCTGCTATTCCTGCTGTTCTTAAAATATAAAAAACTTGGGCCCTTCCTGGTGGCACAACAGGTTAATGTGAAGCCCTGCAAACTGGCTGCAGTTGCTTCAGTACAAGTTCAATCCCCCATCCCACAGGTGATCCACATGGCTCAGCAGACCTCTCCTGACCCACCCGCTGCTCCCCTCAGCAATGTATTTCATTGATCAGCCTATTCTGCCCCCACTCTGTCTCTGGTGAATCCTCTCACTGCCCCTGCACCTCTGGCCTGTACCCCAATCTGTATGCATAAATAAATAAATCTTTAAAACAAACAAAGACATGCTCCAATCTAGGAATTTTGCCCTTTTTTTCCCTGCCCAAGATCTTCAGATTCCTCCTCAACATTCAGTTCTATGCTCACATTACATTTCTTAAGAGAAACTTCCTAAGCACTCTTCTTATGACTGTCTGGATATACCTAGTCACTCACCCTCCACTTAATTTGCTT